AGCTCAGTTGGAAGAGCATTGGGCTGGTATTCCAAAGGTCGTAGGTTCGAATCCCACCGTGGCCGGGCATATTTTTCAAGCTCGCCCGGTGTGGATATGCACTCAGAGTAACATCACAAACATATTATTCACCTGAGTACACAACACCAGCACAGAAAAATATTCATATTACTAGAACACATTGGTATTGAAGGAACTAGATACTGTTCCGAAATATCACTTACTCGAACCGTCCTGACCGCGTAGCTCAGTTGGAAGAGCATTGGGCTAGTATTCCAAAGATCGTAGGTTCGAATCCCACCGTGGCCGGGCATATTTTCAAGCTCGCCCGGTGTGGATATGCACTCAGAGTAACATCGCAAACATATTATTCACCTGAGTACACAACACCAACACAGAGAAAAAAAAAATTCATATTACTAGAACATATTGGTATTGAAGGAACTAGATACTGTTCCGAAATATCACTTACTCGAACCGTCCTGACCGCGTAGCTCAGTTGGAAGAGCATTGGGCCAGTATTCCAAAGGTCGTAGGTTCAAATCCTACCGTGGCCGGGCATATTTTTCAAGCTCGCCCGGTGTGGATATGCACTCAGAGTAACATCGCAAACATATTATTCACCTGAGTACACAACACCAGCACAGAAAAATATTCATCTTACTAGAACACATTGGTATTGAAGGAACTAGATACTGTTCCGAAATATCACTTACTCGAACCGTCCTGACCGCGTAGCTCAGTTGGAAGAGCATTGGGCTTGTATTCCAAAGGTCGTAGGTTCGAATCCCACTGTGGCCGGGCATATTTTTCAAGCTCGCCCGGTGTGAATATGCACTCAGAGTAACATCGCAAACATATTATTCACCTGAGTACACAACACCAACACAGAAAAAAATTCATATTACTAGAACACATTGGTATTGAAGGAACTAGATACTGTTCCGAAATATCACTTACTCGAACCGTCCTGACCGCGTAGCTCAGTTGGAAGAGCATTGGACTAGTATTCCAAAGGTCGTAGGTTCGAATCCCACCGTGGCCGGGCATATTTTTCAAGCTCGCCCGGTGTGGATAGGCACTCAGAGTAACATCGCAAACACATTATTCACCTGAGTACACAACACCACCACAGAAAAATTCATATTAGTAGAACACATTGGTATTGAAGGAACTAGATACTGTTCCGAAATATCACTTACTCGAACCGTCCTGACCGCGTAGCTCAGTTGGAAGAGCATTGGGCTAGTATTCCAAAGGTCGTAGGTTCGAATCCCACCGTGGCCGGGCATATTTTCAAGCTCG